AATACAACCCCTATTAATCCCTATTTTGTCATAAAATATTGCACACTTGACTCTTTAAAAATTATGTCTTTATATATGCTAGCCTAAACAACTAAAAATAACTCACAGACCCTCAAGAGCATATAAAAAATATGAAAAGCATCATAAAGCTTGTCATATAAGACAATGATGTTATGTGCAAAGCTCTTTTAACAACACTCCATAAAATTGCTCAAGCATGGAAACACAATTTATATCTTAACTTTATTCTCTATTTTCATGATCTCAACTTCAAAATCATCTCTCATTTCAGCACAAGTATTCCAAATAAAAAAAAAACATAACAGAGGTCTTTACTATAATAACGAGAAGATAAGAGCATTATAACCTATATTTAAAGGTTCAATATAAAGATGCTTAGTATGGAAAAACTCCTTAAGCCTATTGTCATTTAAACCTTGATTAATGGAGCATATAACATGGGGCAGAGTGTGGACGCATTCAATCCTAACATGGTGTTGTAATTAGTGATAATGATCACTAAAGTAATAATACAATGACTTAGCAGAAAATGATGTTAATTAAAAATAAACAAAGTCAAGAAAGATCCAGGATTTGAAAATAGAAAACCAAGCATTGCTAGCTATAAATGATAGGAAAAGTCTCATTGAGATTGAACATGGTGAAGGTAGCTAGCTAGTTAGAGAGAAGGGATTGTTGATGGTTAGATCATTAACATTTACGTTATTATTTCAGGTCAACAAAACCAATATTTCATATCTATCATTCAAGAGGGAGACTCCAAAAAGGCATGGAGAGTAACCTTCTTTCTTCATCTTTCCTTCACATATTGTTAGCAACTAGATTGGTGTCCCGTAATAAGTCGTGGATCCAGAGTCAACTTTTTTTCTAATTTTTTTTAAAAAAGATGATCATTTTTAAAAAATCAAAAAATCAAAAAATCAAAAAATCAAATTATTAATTTTATTAGATTTAATAAACTTAGTTAATTTAGTAATATGATTAAAAAACAAGGAACAATAGTAGATAAATTGAAAAAAAAAATGACTTGAACTAACTTGGGCTAACACGTCAAACTCATAACCGAACACTTGAAATAAAAATAACACCATAAAAAGAAAAGAGAAAAAAATAACAAATTTCAACCTCCAACAAACCCAATATTGAAAGATAAAATTATATAAAAAAAATTATAAAAAATAACCTAAAAAAGATCCAAGTCAACTCAAGTTAACCTTCCAAACCCATCACCCATGTTCTAAGGTTAGGATTACCTCATAGAAGGCAACAAAAAAAAAATCATGAAGCCAAATTTCTAATCAATAAATTCTAAATCAATAAAATGTTGAGCTATGAAATTAAAAATGAAAAATAAAAAAAGGATAAAAAATAAATAGAAACAAATAAATGGGGATCATATTTGACATAAAATAAAATAAAATACAAAATCTCAATCAACAAAATGTTGAGCTATGAAATTAAAAAAGAAAATTACAACAAAAAAGGATCTAAAATAAAATAAATAGAAATAAAAAAATAGAGACTAGATTTAACATAAAATAAAATCAAATCAAATTTTAAAGATGAAATTAAAAAAGAATTCTAATAAAAAAAGTATTCAAAACAAAATAAAATAAATAGAAATTAAAAGAATGAAGAATACATCTGATAGGAAAAAACTGGAGGATGAAATCATAAAAAAATCATTTTTAGAAACTATCTCAAATAAAATAAATATCAATTAAAAAAATATGAATCAAATATGACATATAAAAAAAATTAAAAAAGAGTGAAATTGAAAAAAAATATAATTTGATAAATTATTTACTAATAATAAAAAATAACTGGGGTCAAATATGAACAAAGAATAAACCAAATGGTTACTTTGAAAATTCAAAGAATCAGATATGGAAATTGAGGAAGAAAGATAAAAGAAAGAAAAGAGAAAAAGTAAAGTTTGTTAGTGCTAGTTCATCATATGATTTGTAAAAGTAATTACAAGATTCTTAAACTCTTATCACTAAACATTTTAAATAGGTTAAAGTCTGCAGGAGCAAGAGGCTTACCAACAACCGCAAGTTCATAACTATTGGCCTTTTCTTGTTTTAAGGAGGTTGTGACACTTTCATAGGTTTTTTAACACAATTCAATCAAGGCAAAGTAAATAGACATGATGCGTGTTATAGAGAAAAAGGCTAATGTCGATGCTAGAGAGGTTGAAACATGGGACAACCAATCATTAAAGACAATACCTTAGTGGAGAGGGAGACAATTAGTGTGCTCTTAAGTAGTTGATATTATTTTACCCCCGTAGTGTAAGATATACTAATTTTAATGGTATTATCAATTATGATAGTTTCTGCAAGGTATAGATGGTTTCTATCCATGAATTTAAATAGTCCCTATCCAATTACAGAGCAAGGAGCTGAGCTTTTCAAAAGTTATAGTTGTAGTTTGTAAGTTTCAATGAGAAATAATGGTATTGAAAATTACTGTTGTGGATTCCTTTAAAGATTATAGAGATAATATCGATGCCATTAGAATTGACGAAGGGTGGTAATTTTTATAAAGGAGTTTGCCATGGATTGTGAAACCGAGGACATGTTTTTCAAAGTATATGTGTGCAATTACACAGTAGGCTTAAAATAGAGTGTTTGCAATATAGTTATAGAATATATACATTGTAAACCACACAGTAAATGTTCAAAGAATTACTGTGTTCAAAGAATCATGAGGTCGTTTCCTTTTCTATATTTTATTTAAAATGTTGTTGGTTCGTGTTGGGTTAAGGTATGATTGCCAAACTTAAAGCTATTGGGTCTAGTGCGCCACATCCCAAGCTATTAAGTCTTTCTCGACCGTCAAATCCAAGTGTGCAATTGGGTCTAGCATGACCGCTAGATCTAAGGTGATGGTCAAACTCATTACCTTGGGTCTGATAGCTATGTCATTATAGTTATCAGGCCCGACCCAACCCTATGAGTTAACTTGGGATCTTAGTCAAGTTTGTTTCATTCAAAATCCAGACCTACAATTAGCCTACAAGAAGACCAGTCGACCCATCAGATCAACCTAGAACTCAAGTGACAAGGCAAAACCTAGGAGAGACCCGATTTTTTTCAAATGTATTTTTTCTCATAGCTAGAAAACTCTCTTTTCTTCTCATATTTTTCAGTTAGTTACTAATTCATTTTAAAATTCACTATATAAATACTAGATGAATGTTTTATTTTTTTAATGTGGGATTTGAAACTCTTTAGTATATATACTTTATATTCACAAAAAAAAATTATGTATTTTTAATGTGGGATAAAAAACCGTTTTGATTTAAATACTTCAACTTAAAAGAATAAAATAATATCTTTCTAGTGTGGGATAAAAAAACTTTTAAAATAATCTTTTAAACTTAATTATTTACAATATGTATAGTATATATCCAAATAGATTGTTTCTTAATTTTTTTCATATAAAATATTAAAACCTTAAATATATATTTTTTAATTTTTCTGAATTGACCTAGTCAACCCGTGTAACCCAAGATTCAGCCTCTTGCCCAGATCAACCCCTAGGCTGAATTTGATGACTATGGTTGTCATGAAAATATAACTTTAAAGAATACAATTGAAAATAAATAAAATAATGTGACTAGTTAAAAAACTAAAAATTAAAAAAATAGTTAAAACTTTCTCTGTTTTTTTTTTGCTTAGAGGGCCTACTTTAAATAATATTAATTGTTTTATATTGTGTTTAATTTCTAGAGTGATTTTTCTTGTTCATCTATAGTTTTATTTTTATTGGAAATAAAATTACAATAGTGTTTATCTATCAAACCTAATAATAAAAAATTGAATGAAAATACAAAAAATGCCTCTTAACATAAACTAAAGAAAATTTCTACTTTAAGGGTATTTACATTATTTTATTGAGCTGGAAAAATAAAAAAACTGAAATGTCACTGGTCTTTAACTTTAAAAAATCAATTTCAATGACAATATAATTATTTTATACAGTAAAAATTCTACATAAAAAAAAATAAACAGATCAATATTACTTCTATCAATACAATAATAACTAATAAATACCTATAGAAAAACAAATATTACCACATGTAATAAGGCGGGCAGAATATATATGTAGTATTTAAGATAACATTGATAAGGAATATTTTAGAAACTATTATTTAGTCATGTTCTTTCTTCTTCTCCTCCTTTTTTTTTCTTTTTTTTGAATAACTGATCAATGTGAATGCTCAATCTACATCAGTGACGACAAAAAGGTGTCCAGCATTCTGCCATTTCTGAGTAGTAGAGCGCACCCGCCCCGCGGCCCCCCACCCCACCCCGTCCATCTGTCCATTGTAGCCCCTTAGCAGTAACTTGCTAGTTTGTTTTTTTTTCCGACATTATTTTTTAAAAATGAGAATATTACTTTATATCTAAACAATCTCTAAACTCTTTATACTAAAAAAAATCTTAAGAGGCTGGGGAGACTCAAACGAGAATCAACTGTTGAAAGCTTGTGTGCAGGAGTTCCTATGATTTGTTGGCCTTTTTTTTTTTTTTTCTGATCAGGGAATAAACAGTAGCTATATACGCTGGCAGTAAGTAGGGAGCTGGTGTGGATATTAAAAATGATTTCAATGTCAAAATGTTAATGGAAGGAGAAGAGGGTAAGAAAATGAGGGGAAAAGACATGCAGTGGAAGAAGTTTGAATCCAAGTAAGGTAATTATGAAAAGCTTGATTATCTGTTGACAACTCATGAGCGTATGTATAATTGTTAAATCTGACTTGGGCGGACAAATTAATTCAAAAAACCAATGATGGTAAATAGCGTTGAATTTGTAATCGACTCATAGAAGCTATTGATTTATTTAAAACTCAATCACCACGAAAAATAAAGCAATTGAACTTGTACAAGATCCGGTCACCCGTGACACAAGCACTTGGCCAAGTTTTCTATAAGATAGTCACATAGAGAACTAAACAAAACATGTAACGTCAAGCTACATATCTCTTACTTATAAAGAGACAAACACCCTAAAAGATATTCATCGATGAGATATATCAGCAGAGATTTCACATCCAGTAATACATCTTCTGAAGAAACGAAGGAAGCATAGAGAGAGTTGTGAGAGATGGTATCCAAACCAGAAGCTAATTATATGCCTCATATGGTTTTGATCCCGAGTCCATTTCAAAGCCATATAAAAACCATGCTTAAATTGGCAAAACTCTTACACTCCAAAGGCTTTCACATAACATTTGTCAACACAGAATTCAATCACCAACGTTTCTTGAAATCAGGAGGCCTAGATGCCCTTGATGGCTTGCCCCACTTCAAGTTTGAAACCATCCCTGATGGCCTGCCGCCTTCACATATAGATGCTTCCCGGGAAAATATTCCTCTTGCCATGGCTGTTGAAAATAATATGTTAGCTCCCTTAAAGGTTCTTCTAGCGAAACTTGACAATCCTCCGATTACTTGCCTAGTTTCTGATGTTTTCATGCGATTCATCATCACAGCTGCTGAAGAACTTGGACTCCCAATTTTGATGCTTGTCACCATGTCTGCATGTGGATATATGGGATTCAAGCAGCTTCATGACCTCAAGGAGAAGGGCTTCCTTCCACTTAAAGGTACTGATCTTGTTGAAGAGGTCACAGGGCATGTGGTTGATCTAGTCTTGATTCTTGGATTGGGTAAATTAAGATCAGGCCAATTGTGCGCTTGTAAGATCATGAGGCCTTTTTATTGGTGTAGATTGCCTACTTATTAGTTATAATCAAGAAAATTCTTGTTTGAACACAGCTATAATTGTCTGATGATTCTATCCAATGATTGCTCAGCGTGATCTAACTTTAACGCGCTGTGTTCTTACAGATGAAAGTTATCTAAGAAATGGTTATCTTGAAAATACAATTATAGAAGGAATCCCTGGTATGAAACCGCTCCAACTTAAAGATTTTCCGTATAGTCGAACAATAGATCCAGATGACTTTGTATTCAACTTTGCAATGCGAGCTGCTGAGGCTTCTGTTAAGGCTCATGCAATTGCTATTCATACTTTTAATGCATTGGAGCAAGATGTTTTGGATGGCCTTTCCACTATATTTCCTCGTGTGTATTCCATCGGTCCACTCCAGTTGCTTCTCAATCAAATTCAACAAGATGGTTTGAACTCTATTGGATACAATCTATGGAAAGAAGATAGTGAATGCCTTCAGTGGCTAGATACCAAGGAGCCCAAGTCAGTTGTCTATGTGAACTTTGGAAGCATAGCAGTGATGACAGCAGAGCAGCTGGTTGAGCTTGCGATGGGGCTAGCTAATAGCGAGATCTCGTTCTTGTGGATAATAAGGCCGGATTTGGTTACCGGTGAGTCGGCGATTTTGCCAGCTGAGTTTCAAGCGGAAACTCAGAATCGTGGTTTCGTGACTAGTTGGTGTCCACAAGAGGAAGTTCTGAACCACCCATCAGTTGGGGGATTTCTAACTCATAGTGGTTGGAATTCGATTATTGAAAGCTTGTGTGCTGGAGTGCCACTGATATGTTGGCCCTTATTTGCTGATCAACCAATAAATTGTAGGTATGCTTGCACTGAATGGGGAGTTGGCATGGAGATTGATAACAATGTCAGGAGGGAAGAAGTGGAGAAGCTAATCAGAAACTTGATGGGAGGAGAAGATTGTAAGAAAATGAGGGAAAAGGCCGAACACTGGAAGAAGGTGGCGGAAGAGGCTACTGTCCCTAATGGTTCATCATCCATTAATTTAGACAAGTTCATCAATGAAATGTTACAATCAAACATCACTTTGTAACCTATGATCATGCAAAAGAGAAAATACTTCTGTGATGGGATTTTATTGCATGCGAATTGCAGAAAGCTAGTGTTTGCACTAATGGTGTTTGTCTCAATCGTCCATATGTCTTTCCATTGAACAGTCCCTGTTAAAGATCAATCCAGAAATTAATTTATTGCTTGCGAATTGAAGAAAGTCCGTCACCGTGATATAAAACGATATCCACCGGTCAACATAAGGAAAAAGAATAATGATACTTTTCATTTGCAACAAGTGGGGGAGTACATAAAACAAAGTAGAGTGGAGTGCGTGAGAGCGAAGAAAGAGGGTGAAGCTGTCATTCAATTCTCTCTCTAAGAAGTTATCTTTTCTTAGAGAGAGAGAGGACAAGGTGCAAAGGATAGTTTTTTAGCGGTGGAGGATGACCTTCTTCTGAGTAGGATTACGCATTTCTGACTTTGTTTGTTTGGAAATAATTGAGGGAATTATTTTTTAGTCCTTGTATTCTAAATATTCAATGACTTAGTCCTTTTAGTCTTAAAAAAATATAAATTAGTCCCTTTACTCGTTGATTTTTGGCTTATTAATACATTTGTTGTTTTTTTTTTCTCAATTCTAAATGCACTCTTTACCAATTTTTAGTCCTTATTGTTATTCATCAATATTGTAAAAGGGTTTTGTTTATTATTTTTATTTTTTTCATTGTATCAAGTTGCAATTCCTTTTTCAATTTTTGGTATCATTGTGCCACAAAAACGGTTATATATTTATTTGATTTATATCACCAATAGAATTACCATTTTTTGTAAAATAAATTAGAGGAATGAATTAATTAAAGAATAAAAAGATTCCGACATTTATACGGCATGGGTTAATGGTATAGGATACAAATAACAAATGTAAATTATGCGCGATTAGTTTTTAATTTATTTATAGAATATTTCAAATACACTTTTTAATTTATTTATAAAGTATCGATAGAATATGGCTTATATACACGTCAGCTGGTTTCCTAATGTCCACGTCTTTGACAAGAGATATAGTGTATGGCTTATGTTATGAAAATTATAGTTTTTGTTTTGAAGTGTAATTATTGTTATTTTTTATAGTATTTTTTATTAGAAATATATTAAAATAATATTTTTTATTTTAAAAAAATTATTTTTAATATTACCATATCAAAATGATACAAAAATACTAGAAAAATATTAATTTAAAACAAAAAATAAACAATAAAAAATTTTAAAATACAAAAATAAACAGTATCTTAATTATTTTCCCCAACGTTTGGATTCGAGTTTTGCCCTAGGTGGGTTTGTGCTGAACCTCTCAAGGTCAGATGAAGTCGTTAAGTTTGAGCCATAAGGGGATTAAAGCAAATTCATGTTCTCAGGGAGAAAGGCTTCAGCAGCCCACTTAAAGGTATATACTTCGAAGGAATTAATGTGACCTACATTGGAAGGTTCACTCTAAAGTATCGTGTTTTTGCAGACAAGAGCTGTTTGGAAACATCAATTGATTCGGTTCCTAGCATGAAAGACACTCAGCTCAAGGATATTCCATTTACTCGAATTAAGCACAGATCCAAATGATAACGTGCTAAACTTTCATCCGAAACATATATTTATAACAATTTAGAATAATTCAAAATAGTAAAAAACAAATCTTAATAGACTTGAATTTGGAATAACAATACTCCAAACATATATTTATATTAATTTAGAATAATTCAAAAGACTTAAAAGATAAATATATTTTTAATATTTATATGGATATATATAGAGAACACCTAGAAGAACTAAAAGATACTTTTAATAAAAACTTCAAAAATTAGTTGCATTGCTCTCCTTTAATAATGCTCTCCTTTAATTTTAAAAGTGTTACTATTCTTGAAATTGAAAATGTGATGCAGATTTTATGATGGTTTTTAATATTTATTTTTTTACTTTTTTTACCGTCACCCTGTATCCATAATTTTTTTTCAAAATTAACTTTCATCTTGTAAAAGATATCTCTGGCATTTTTGTCTTAGCCACTCCTTTGATCATGGCTACCTAATGGCATTCAATTATCATTTCTTTAATTTGTTTTTCTTTAATTATTGTCTTTGTCTTAACATGACTACTCATAGCCATTTTTCTCTTCCTGTGGTTCTTGCCCCAATTCTCTAGTCAAACATTTTTTTTTTAAGATATTACTCACTTTATTTTAAATTGTTGTTTTTTTTTATCATCACTCTTCGGTTATTTCTTATCATCTTATTTTTGTTTAATATCTTTTAGTTTTTTTAAAATCTTACGGGATTGATCTAGCTCTGATACTTTATTAAAAATATTTGAAGAAGAGAAAAAAAATGAAAAATAAAAAATAAATCTCATTCATATAAATATATTATTTTTTTAAGAGAGGAAGAATGGACTTTAATTTGGACTTACAATACTCAAAATATATATTTATACTAATTTAGGATAATTCAACAGATTTAAAAGATAAATACATTTTTAATAATTACATGTATATACCTAGAAAAACTAAAAGATACTTGGCAACTTCAAAAATTAGTTCCAGCAAATGTCTCCAATGGTTGGAAGCATGACCGTGATGACAGCAGAACAACTATTCAAGTTTGCAATGTGACCAAGATCCCATTATTGTGGATTACAAGGCCAGATCTTGTAATGGGCAATTCGAAGATTTTGCCACCTGAGTTTGCAGCAGAAATTCAGAAACGTGGCCTTATTGTAAGCTGGTGTACAGAGGAAGAAGTACTCAACCATCCATCAGTTGGAGGGTTTCTAACTCATTGCGCGCGGTTGGGGTTCAACTATTGAGAGCTTGTCTGCAGAAGTTCCAATGGTGTGTTAGCCATTCTTTGCAGACCAACAAATGAATTGCAGATATACCTGCACTGAATGGGGAGTCGGCATGGAGATTGATAATGATGTCAAAAGGGAAAAGGTTGAGAAGCTTGTCTCTAGGATTTTCCATTTTCTCGAAGAAGAGATCCTGATGAATTTGGAATAAACTTCTCCATGGAAGTTGCTGAGAATGCTATTAAGGCTAGTGCAATTATTATTCATCCATTCGATACATTATAGCCATATGTTTAGGATGGCCTTTCTTCAATGTTTTATCGTGTTTATGCTATTAGCCCTTACAAGACAAATAAAAAAGAGAGCATTAAAAGATTTGGATATTCCTTCCATAGAATAGAATTTCACTGCATGACTTTAGAATGAATGCACGTCAATTCAAGGTTTTAGTTTTAAAATGATTCATACCAAGCTAGTTACCTTTACGTGAGGGTAATATTCAGGAGTGAACAGAGGTGAGGCCAATGTGAGAGGTTCCATTCCCAAACTGTATCATCCTAGAAAATGGCGGTGAGGTGGTGATCCCTCCCTTGCTTCTGTTATGAAGATGAACGAGTATAATCACATTAACATGGCACATTGGTAAATATTCAAAACCATCTAAAGCTGCACCAAAGAAATGAAACACGATATTTCTTTCTGCTGCCTTAAAACTATCCATGGAGGCAAGAACTTGTAAGCAATGTACATACCACGATAATTTAATTACACGCATCGTGTCGCTAGTTCAAACACGGCATGTCTTGGAAAGATAATCACATCCTTCATACACTTCTAGCCTGTCTCGCTTAGTTGATCTTCCTTAAAGCAAGCGCATCGCTTGCTCATCTTCCCAGTCAAAGCAATTTCTAGTGGTCTCCGCACTAACCTTGGGAAGCCATCATCACACCAGACCTCCCAAAGCTGAAAGTGAAACTACTGAAAAGTATACGAACAGAGAAATTAGATATGCATCCTAATCATGAGAATATACCTCTCCACCCTCTTCCTGGCTCTACCTCGAATTGCAACTAGGCTGTTTGGCCTCCTCTTTTTTCTGTTTCTCCAGAAGCTGGGTGCCTCTTGCAGCCTTTGCTTCGACTCCCTTCAAAGATTTGGTAGGATTTCCTTCACAATCATAATAGCGACCAACCAGTTTACCAACAAACCTGGCATTCAGGATTTGTGATTGCGACCACCAAGTCAATATCAAGAATTGTACTTGTTCAGTGAATATTTGATTTCTGTACCAATTTTATCTCTCTTGTTTTACTGATGACACCAATGTTCCGGACATAATCTTAGAGAATTTCGCAATTCAATATAGATGATTAGAGTTATTTAGTACTGTATGAAAAGAAAAGATATTAAATTCATAAGAGCTCCATAGTATCAGATTTTTCCTTTCGCTTTTTCATACTAAGCTCAAAGAACATAGTATGGACAATGTGCAACTCGCGTGTAGCTTCTGAAGTATAATTCTCGCCATGCAACAATACTCTTCACCTACAGATGCGGCAATAATTGAATCATATAGCATAGAACTTTTAGCAATATACAACATTAGCATGGAGCAGGTATGAAGAGTTTAACAAATTGATCCATAATACAGAAATGAAGTTGGATGTTTACGTTATTTTCTTTTTGACAAATAACCGTTGTGTTAAGAGAGTTTAAAAAGAAAACGACTCTTAAAACGACATGGAAGCTTTAAACAGAAAATGAAGGATGATGCAGAGGCATGGCATGGCAGTCATCTTTTAACTAAGATCAATCCAGAAATTAATTTATCACCGCCTACTATTCTTGAGTTTCTCAGAAGCCTCCAACTAAGTAGCCAGGCATGCTTGTTGACTGAGGTTTTTCAACATCTATCGTTCTTGAATTTTGCAGAGGGCTCCAATTAAACAATGAAGAATAATATATTTGTTTTTGGGTTTCAAAAGAGTCTTAAAAAAACAATTGGAAATTTTTAATGTGTTTAATGATGTACAATTAATTCTTTTTTAATGCTATGGAATAAGTAAATTTTAGAGTCATCAACTGAGAGTAAATGTGTAATATTTTACTTTCTTTGTATATCTTAGAGCTCCAAAATCAACATGTTTCCTCCTCAAAATATATATCCTCCTCACTGTTCGGATAGTCAAAACCTTTGGCTCCGTACACTAAATTTGACAATGCGTTGGGGATGGCTCCACTCTTCCTCATGCTGTCAATTTAAGCAGTTTTTTACTCACGGCACTAGCCATGAGTGATGTGTATCATGACAGTAAGGGCCAGTGGTCCAGGGAGGGAGGGGGGGAGGGGGGGAGACATAGGGTGGTGTTTTGGTGCCGGATTCCACATTTATGTGGATTTAATCTCGTTATTCCAAAACAATTTATCCAACTGTCAGTAAGAAGAAAAGGATGAATGATACTGTATATAATTGAATTACAAGGTTTCAATTATTTGTATAATTGAACTTTTTTTTATATTAAATTAATTCAATTCATTATGTTCATTGCTATAAATAAATTTTTCTAGCTGCCATTATCTGGATATATATTTTAATAATAATTTTCAATGAAAAAATAACGGGCCATTCATTCATACCTCTAGAAAAAGGGCCACTGATAGATGCTGGAGATAGTGCAATGTTACGTCACAGGCTGCCAGACAATTTTGCTGGTAAGATTTTCTATATTATAGTGACATCTAATTTGTAAAATCCTTGTATTTTGGAGGTACTTGTGAGCTGTGATTCAGAAATTAATTAGTTGCTTGATTTGGAAATAGAAAAACATCCATTTCTGGCTATAAATGACAGGACAAGAATCATCGAGACTGAACAGAGAGAAGCAAGCAAGCTAGCTAGTGAGAGAGATATGGGATCCATTTCGAAGCCTCATGTTGTTGTGATCCCATGTCCACTCCAAGGTCATATAAAGACTATGCTTAAACTTGCAAAGCTTCTTCACTACAAAGGTCTTCACATCACGTTTGTCAACACAGAATTCAATCTCAAACGTTTCCTTAGGTCAAGAGGACCTCATGCCCTTGATGACTTGCCTGGCTTCCATTTTAGAACCATTCCTGATGGCCTCCCTCCTTCAGATATTGATGCCACCCAAGACATACCTTCTCTTTGTGATGCCATGAACAAGAATTTCTTAGCACCCTTTAAAGATCTTCTTTTACAACTCAAAAATACCGTATCGGAGAACAACCCTCCGATTACCTGCGTTGTTTCTGATCCCTTCGCTCCATTCTCCATCAAAGCTGGGGAAGAAGTTGGTCTTCCAGTTGTGATGTATGCCACTGTGAATGCATGTGGCTATATGGGATTTAAACAGCTCCATGCTCTTAGAGAGAGAGGCTTCACCCCAATCAAAGGTAATTCACATGCTTGTTTATTATGTAAGTTACCATCAATTACAAGTGAACTCCCACGCAAAGTGGCTTTATTACACCATTATACAACTTCTTTAGTATTTTGCTGCTTTATTCTTTTCTAAATTTTCAAACATCCAGATTCTCCCTTGCAAGTTGATGGAGAAATGATTATAAAACATTATCACGACAACAATTTCTTTTATTTATAATATAATATATTATATTATGTTTATATATACTGTACGTTCGACGGCATAATTCAAAAAACATGCCATATATAGAACCGTCTAAATTTTATATAATATTCTTTTCCAAATCACTTCTCTAAAAATCTGCCAATTATTAAATCAGATAATCCTAGAAATCATAAAAATTTTATGATGGTGGGAGTGTACTGTGCATTATTCTAGGTTTTATTTATTTATTTATTAGTAGTCTTTTTTAGCGGAAGATTTATTTTGGATTCAAACTTGGATTCTCATTTTTTCAGCATAACATGGAGTATTAGGCTTATAAAAAATAATTTGATTTTTAACAAGGTGTAGCCAGAATGGGATACCAGTTTCTCTTTAATCTTGTATAGACTATTAATTTAGCTAACAATAATGAATTTAATTTCAGTTATACCGATAATAATTTTATTTGTAGTGTAGATGGTATTTAAATGTAGAAAGACACAAATCACTAATTTGATTATTATTTCCTTTTATATTTCCTTTTGTTTTCTTTTTAATTTTTTTTATAGGGCATTCATTTTATTTTATTGTAAATGATGTTTTAACGTTTTAGAAATTATCTTTTAAATGATTTTTTTATTAATACACTTTATTATTATTAAAACAATATTACAATTTAATTACTTTGGTATGCCCGCGTTCCGACAAAAATTACCAAGCTTAAATCACACAGGCAAGATCAATGATTATGTGCAATAAATTTTCATTTTGAGCCTGGTCTAACAAGGTTGTGTTCTGCAGATTTGAGCAATCTAAGCAATGGCTATCTTGAGACAAAAGTAGACTGGGCTCCTGGTATGAAAGACGTTCGTCTTAAAGATTTTCCATTTATTCAAACAACAGATCCAGATGACGTTGTCTTTAACTTTGTCATTGGAGCTGCTGAGACTTCTGTTAAAGCTCGTGCAATTGCTTTTCATACTTTTGACGCCTTGGAACCAGAAGTTTTAGATGGCCTTTCCACTATGTTCCCTCGAGTTTATTCCATCGGTCCACTCCAGTTACTCCTAAATCAATTCGAAGAAGATGGCTTGAAGTCTATTGGGTACAGTCTGTGGAAAGAAGACCATGAGTGTCTCCAATGGCTGGAAACAAAGGAACCCAAATCAGTGGTGTATGTGAATTTTGGAAGCATTACAGTGATGACAGCTGATCAACTTGTGGAGTTTGCAATGGGATTAGTTAATAGTAATATCCCATTCTTGTGGATTATAAGGCCAGATTTGGTCATCGGTGAATCAGCTGTTTTACCAGCTGAATTTGCAGAGGAAACTGAAAGGCGTGGCTTTATTACAAGTTGGTGTCCCCAAGAGGAAGTGCTTAACCATCCAGCAGTTGGAGGGTTTCTAACTCATAGTGGCTGGGGTTCAACCATTGAGAGCTTGTGTGCTGGTGTTCCAATGGTGTGTTGGCCCTTCTTCGCTGATCAAGCAATGAACTGTAGATATAGCTGCAACGAATGGGGAGTTGGAATGGAGATTGATAATAACGTCAAGAGGGAAGAAGTGGAGATGCTGGTGAAGGAGCTAATGGAAGGGGAAAAGTGTGAGAAAATGAGGGGAAAAGCTATGGAGTGGAAAAGGTTGGCTGTAGAAGCTGTTGGGCCAGAGGGTACATCATCCATTAATTTGGACAAGTTCATCCATGAAATAATCTCTTCAAACAATTAGATCGTCACGCTGGAAATAAAAAATTCATGAAAAGATCAAATTTTCTTCCCTATCTTTTGCCTTTTATTGGAAGTGAAATATCATAATAAATAAATGCTCCATTTTCGAAGATATATGATATCTTCGCAAATATGTTAATACTTCTATCTTACATTCAAAAATACCATATTGTCACATCCTTTGTTTCTCATGCTACATGTTTTGATCAAATTATGAATGCTTTTCAATATCTCATTTTTGTGAGACTAAATATTTCAGAGTCTATCAGTTTATAGTTTATATATGCTCTTACAAACTCTCGTTAGGCTGGTATGAAAGGCATTTTCTGTTATTTTAAAGGTACTACAACACATAGTTTACATATTACTCATAGTTCTTCCTTTCTATTACATGGTTTTTCAAATGCAGATTCTGCAAGTAGTATTGATGATAGAAAATCTACGGATAATTATCTTATGTCTTTTGGTTATCTTAAGCAATGTACAGTTGCTCACTCCCCTACTAAAGATAATACTGTAAAGCCACCACTTAATTAAATCAATTAAATCCATATAATTAGTGGATGACAAAAATAAGTGGAGATGAGTTCTTTGCATAATTTGTCGAGTGTGAGTGGAGATAAGTTATTGACATAATTTGTGGCATAATTGGTACCATGGTTTATAGCCTTTGTCCCCTAACGCTTGCCTATAAATAGACAATGCCTCCAAGCTTATTTTGCACACCAAGATACAGAGAAGAAGAGGAGAGTAAGGTATTTGTGAGAGAGTAAATGAGATGTTTTCTCTTAGTAATAGAGAGATTTTTAGTTGTTCTTCTATTATTAGTAATTCTCACATTACTTAGTAAAATCCTTCTATACTTGCTCGTGAACGTAACATAATTGGATGAAACATGTAAATTCTTGTTTCTCTTATTTTTCATTTTATCCTTTCCCTTGCCTTTTGTTTTGTCGGGTTTGCATGTTAGTATCCTAATAGTGGTATCAGTGCTTCTTGATTGGTGTTGTTAACATACAAAAGTTATTTGTATATACAGTTACTATTCACCTATACGGCATTGTTCATCCATATGATTCTGTTAACAGACATTACTATTAGCATATATAGAAAGTCAGTGCAGTGATTAAATACAG